TCTGAATCATAATTCTTTCCGTTGACACAACAAAACAAAACAACATGCATCAACAGTGCAATAACTACAAAATGCAGTTGTGCCATTTCAGTGAGATTTCTTTGAGACTCTTTCACCTTAGATTTCTTATCTTTTTCGTATGTTTACCTGTCCCATAACTGCGCAGATAATGACATTTCTTGAAATGAAGAAGAATGACGTCCTATAGAAATTTGCACACCAAGCGTTGTTATAATAATGCGTTGTTTGCATTGGTATATACCAATTTGACTACGGATGACTCCTTTTACCAGATCAATATAGAGAGCTGAAACAAAAAGTGTGATTGACTAATGGACGTTTGCGAGAAGTACTGACTTTTACAGTCGACGACCTACTTTCATATTTAAACCTGCCTTATGTACGGAATTGATAATAGACAAGAAAACAATAGTGGTTATAAGTAGGGTGTTAGGGGCACTAAAATGATTTACAGGTATGCAAATCAACGCAAGAGATGATGAGAGGCAGATTTACATAACTTAAATTAACTAATTCATGAGGGGTAAATCTCCTTTCAATCTCATTTGCTGAAGGAACCAAATAAGGAAGAAAAAACATTCCGGAAGGAAAACTTAGCAAGGGTTGGTCAATGTGGGAAGGGAGGGGGTTGAGGGTAGAGTGGTTGCCTTTCTCTTCCTAAACAACTTAAGGACATACGCAACGTACCTTACCTACTGATAATTTTTCAAGATATTCTTAATTTAAGATAATACTGTCATCAGATGTTCGTAGACAAAAAATCAGCCTGCATTACCAGGGGTTTTGAAAAGATATCAATTGATGAAAATTCTTGTATAATTCAAAGAAAAATATACAAAAATTACTAAACATATATTCTAGATGTTTTGTTTATCCAAACTTGTTTCAGAAGAAGTGTACAACAGCATATATAGACATTAAAATGTAGCACACAGTTCCTTTAAGTATTGGAACTCTTCAACTCCAGGGAAAAATACAATAAAGTTCAAACTACGTTGCGTATGTCCTTAATATGTTCTTTGAAATGGCCCATTATTATCGTTTCATTAACTGTTAAGCTTAATATTTATATCACAAAAGAGCTTCCGTACATGTATATTGTGCCAGTGTAAAAGTAAGCCGTCGATTGAAAAAGTCAGCGCTTCTCGCAAAAGTCCTATAGCAATATATAGTGAAAACTGTCCATCCTTCTAGAAACCCTTTAAGGATAAATTATGGAGATAACGAACAGTATTCAAGCTCAAAATCCATTTAAACAATACAAATTGGGTGGAGAGCAAACACGGACCTCCCAAAACATCATAGGTGGGATCAGATGCCATGGAGGAGTGAGCATTCCCTGCCAACCCGTCACACCCGCAGTGTGCTCCTTGTCATGTTTGGGAAATAACGGAAAAATCCGTCGAAAATCCAGTGTGTAAATAATGGCTTAACAATTAGTATGAAAAACGTCAGTCAGCATATGACTTAATGATAGATTGTATTTGCTGACAAGGTCATTGTATCGACCATAGAACTTACGAAATGATGACTTCAAACGAGACTGTTGATATTCTTGTTTCATCAACTTGTCAATAACTAACATATGACTCCAACTGTGTGTAAAATGGTAAGCAAAGTAGGTAAAGAGGTTTTCTGCTTTGAAAGCCTTTTAATTAGTAGGATGGGATTGCTATACCCGCCTTTCCTAAACAATGTATATTGTTGTTATCCTTGTCTGTTCGGCTGTCTGTCACTCTATCTTCTTTCTCAAACTTCTCCTACATGATTTAAGCAGCGGCCAACATTTTTTAAAAATATGATTGGTGGTGTCCTTGCACATTCATAAAAATTTTGAAATATTCATTTCACCCTACGTCCATTTGGGGGTCAAGAATGATGATTTTCTACATAAACCTGATTCTCTGAACTCCTCTTACATTTTTCGTAGTACCCGAATCATATTTTGGAAAATTATTGCGAGTGTCCTGTAGATGTGCAATAAGGTTTCGCAATTTAGATTTTCATTCTGGTTGCGATTGGGGAGTAAAAAAAAACCCCGACGTTTGCCTGGTTTCCCTGAACTCCTCCTACATTTTTTACAGTAGCCAAATGAATGTGATCGGTGGTGTCCTGTAGATGTGCAATAAGGTTACGGAATTTCGATTTTAATTCGGGGGGGGGGGGGGTGCTAAAGAGGATTAAAAAATTAGGTTTTTTTTTAAATATAAATTCCTGGTTCCATGAACTCATCTTACATTTTTCACAATAGCTCATATTTTTGAAATTGAGAGTGCCCTGTGGATGTTCAATGTTTCGGAATCTTGATTTTAAACCTGGAGGCATTTGGGGGCTAAAAATATGACGTTTTTCTACAAAGCAGTTCCCTGAAAATTCCTCTCGAAGATTTTGCAGTAGCCAAATCATACTTGTGGGGTAATGTAGAAGTGCAATAAGGTTTCGGAATTGTAATATTCAGACTGGGGACCAAATGGGGGTAAAAAGACCATCTTAATACAAAAAAAAAAAAAAAAAAAAAAAAAAAACAAAACAAAACTGGTTCCCTGAACTCCTCTGACATTTTCCCAGGTTGTTCATTTATATGTACACATACACCATTACTTTTACTTGACAAAAAAAATTGAGAATATGGGGCGGGACAGAATGATTTTCATTTCTAATTCTCGGATTGGGGCTGACCCCGGGGAGTCATTAATTTACGCATATGAGTTAAGGCTAATTATAGGTGTTTCTATGCGAATGAGCTAATAAAAAATCATAAGAGGTAAATCTATTTCAAGTAGAAAGTTTTAATTCATTTTCTTATACATACTTAGTACCTTCGACATGTTATAGCCAGTACTCATTATGACGTCATATTATGATTTTGTTCTTAACTACTAGAAGTAATAATACATAAAAAAAACAGCTTCGGTGCAAGAGCATATCGTATTTAATTAAGAAATAAGGCATCATTTATAAACTTTTATCGCGTTCTAAATGCGGCTTGGTCATGCGATCAAATCCCATAAAGCCCGAAGGGCTTTATGATAGATGTGATCAAGTGATACCTTATTACTTATATTTACATTTGTGACTAATTTATTACAAATAGTTTGGTACTTTAGTTTTAAATCCAAAAATGATTTATTATCAATTTTCAAACGTCAACCGTGTTGAACACGTCAATCACTTTTGGTGTCACGATGAAATAACGTAGATTGTTTATGACTAAACATTTAATTAATGATCACATGACGAACCTGTTTATACACAGGTGTAAAACGCCCTTTTAAATAGTGTTATATAATGACAACATTTACAATTGTAAATATTTTTACTAAAAATTGTAAATTGCGAAGAAAAAAAATTCTATAGATTAATAAAATTGTTGCACAAATCCTATGTACTCTCTCATTTGGTCAAAATTTGAGGAAACTTGTACCAGACTGCATTTTTACGCATCTTTCAACTTAAAACTTTACAAATAATAACTAAACAATGAATTGTTGATATTTGTGCAGCAATACCATCAATCCTTGGAGTATCCCTCCTCTTATTATACCTTTTTCCTGTTAAATAAATTGTGGTATAATGCCTTAGTGCTGTATCTTGTTCGTTGATGTTCTTTATAATCATGTGTATTAAAGCACAATGACGCCATAGTAGTGGATATATTATGTCGTAGGTACAAAGTAAGTAATAATCAATAAGTTCAACTTTCTCTTTATAATAGTAAAACCATTATGCATTTTAACTTGTTAATTTGCATAGAAACTTTTTTTCTTTTGTAGTTTAGTCATTAATGACACGTTTTAGTTTTCATTTGATTAACTTCTCGTTTTTGCTTCAATTCTAGGCGCCAGTCTTCAACTGCTTTTGTCCTTGTTATGAGTTTCTGAAACCTTTTTTTCGTTTGGTCTTCAGATATTTTCTCTAAAATAACTTATTTTTTTGTTGAAAAATATCACAGGCCAGTGGAGTAAACAGAGGATTACACAAATCAATAGTTCACTGTTGAGTCCTTGGTGTAAATATGTGAAATTTCTCAGTCTTTTAGGATCTCTGCGATCTGTATGGTTAATCAGTCTTTCACTAAAAATTTCTAGGATCTGTATAAAGTGTACAAACTATTTATTCTTTGGTTACATTTTCAACTGATATTACTGTATTATACCGACATAGTAGTACTACAAAGTGAAATGAAAATAGGAAATGTTCTTAGAACGACTGTCGAGTTACATTTTTTATAGACAAATTCGACTGAACGATTTGCTCTGACCAAGTAAACAGAATGATCTGAGTTAGAATTAGTATACTAAGTAGTAACAATGGCCTAACAATTGGTATGAAATGGCAGTCAAAATATGACCCAGATATGTTGTAATTGTAGACAAAGTTATTATATCAAGATTGTCCAAAGCCCTGTAATATCAACTTACAACAACCTGCCTCGGTAAAACATTGATGAAACTCAGGATATGCTCTTGCGCATCCAATCAACTGGGAAGCATAAACACCATATACAGATGATACTGGACTTATACTGTATATTAGGAGACAACGATTGAAAAGCTGAAATCGTTTAAACAAACCACGAGCTCTCTGTTTACCCACTGATTTGTCTACGAATTACTTCGTCTACCTGATCCATATAAACGGTTCACGGCGGTAGTGACTGGTTGTCAAGGGATGCTTACTTCTCCATTGCACTTGGTCCCACATCTGTTGTTTGCAAAGGTCCGTGTTTGCCCTGATCTAGATAAATAGAATTTTTCAAATTTTTAACTTCGTCATTGTCCGTCATCTTGACAAGGAGTAGAAGTCACCGTACCTTTGTTATCCTTTTTCTTGCTTTAATTGTAATTATCTAATGGAAAAATTATTAAATGTAAGAGGATACAATGTATACAATACAAAAAAGTTAGATGTACTAATGCATGTTAAGCAAGGAATTTGATATTTGCAAAAAAGCATCTTGAACACTTTATTTGGTAACGTTAAGCTAATGACCATCCTACAAAGGACGATCTTCCTTCAGGTCTACTTATTATATCACCACCGTTAGGTATGTCAGCAGTTCTTAATAGTACACCATTTCCCTCGTCAACATGGACCACGACAGTACCCGTAACACTGTCATCCATGTGAATGTTAGTACTAAGATGTGTGGACCCAACGAAATTGTTATTGACCAACAGTTCTGTTGTGTGATATGAAACTCCATACATTCTTATAGTCCATGTAAACACGTAAAGACCAGATCGGGGCGCTATGAATGTACCAGTATTGGGATGGTAGTCATTTCCAGCATTTGTGATCACCTTATCAAATGTAAGGATGCGGTGCGCGCTTGGAGAAGGGATATCCTTTGCTAAAAAAAAAGCATAGAAAGCGGCAATGTTGTCAGGTGATATGGAAGGTGTCTCAGGAGCCAGGAATCGTTCTGAAAAAAGGATATTGATGATATTGTCCAGAGTAAATGTCATGTAGAAGGCACAATAATTATAATTACAATAATAATAATTGTTATAATGTAACTTGAAAATGATGTAATGCTTTCAGTATATCAACATATCTATGTCGGTAATATATTGACATATCTAAGCAGGCAGCGTATTGACATAATTCACCTTTTCTTATCGAACTTCCTTTGAGCTGTTTGAAGGCCTTGGGGGAATGAGACATTTTTTCCTGGAAGTGCCTCAAATATCGAAGTCGATTTTTTATATCTCTGTATCGTTTTTCTTGTATATTCTGTCTTCTTCTCAGTAGGCTAGAAATGTTTATCATATTCCTTCTTCTCATTTTTTTCCTGAGTTAAAATGTCATTAGACTGAGTTATCACACTTTCTTCTAAACGCAAATGTTGCTTTTCTAAATTGGAAGTACGCTCATCTTGCTTTTTCTCACTGTTGAAGACATCAGTGGCAATCGTGTTTTGTAAGTTTTGATTCTGTTTCTCTAACTGAGAAATGTGATCGCTTTGGATGTGAATGGTCATATGGAGTTCCTCTAATTTCTTCATAACTGCCTTCAAGTCTATATCGGTCTCGAGTGTTTTCTTCATACCATGGCCATTAACAAGAAAACATTGGAATTGCACTAATATAGTAAGAAATAATTTTGTCTCCATTTAGACCTTTGAAGACACTGTTCACCTCCAAAGTCCTCGTTATCAAGGTGACTTTAATCAAAGTTATGAGATATATAAGACAGATCACTGTTCGTTATCTTTACCCTTTTCATTATTACTAGAATTATATTTTCAAGACTTTTAAATCTTTAATACCGAATAAAAGATGTTTGGACAAATATTTATTAGTTAAATAATTAGTAATAAGAGGAATGCAAGCCAATGATTTCTTTAGATCACAGAAAAGATGTCTAGATTCGTCTGTTTTTGTGCATTCTTTGTAATACTATTTACTTTATTCTTTTTTCAAATTTAAACAGTCGCCTGCGTGGCGCAGTGGTTAGAGCGCTTGCTCTAAAGTCGCGGAGAAGGAGTTGATCCTTACGTCGCGGGTTCGAATCCCACTGTGGGACGTGGAGACCGGTCCTTCGGATGAGACAGTATAAATCGAGGACTCGTTGTGCAGTAGGCACTGGCACGAAAAGATCCTTCACTGCTCAAAGGCCATTAGTGCCTTGTACAGGTCATAATTTGCAGCCCTCCACCGGCAAGTGGTGGCGTCTCAAATCGAAGGAACGTTAAACAAACAAACAAACAAATTACAAAAACTTGTTAATTTTTATAAAAAATGGACAGCAATCTGTAGAAATTTTTTACACGTACCTTAATAAATGATAAAGTATCTCTTATTAGTCCTAGAATATTTACGTTTTATGTAAATCTAAAAACAAGCATGATTCATGAAATATGAAGATAACGAATGCAGGTGACAAGGGTATTTTGCTATATAAGTAAGGGAAGTTGACGATTGAAAAGTTGAAGTCATCACGTTTATCATAAAGCTTTGTTGTTAGGTTACCATTAACGTCTTTTTCTAGTAAAATATCTAAATATGAAACAGATGTGTCAGACTCTGTGGTATCTTTTTATTCCAAGTTCACTGGAATATATCGAGTCGACATATGAATGAAACTAACTATTGTTAATTGATAATACGTCGTCGATATAACGAAATGTCGAGTTGAAGGCCACAGCAAGTGTTTTTTTTTTTCTTCTCATGAAGAAGTTTTTGAATAAATTCTGCTTCATATGAATACAAAAATAGGTCTGCTAATAAGGGGGCGCAATTGGTACCCTTGGGAATTCCAACAAATTGTTGGAAGACCTGATCTCCAAAAACTACATAGATATTTTCAATCAGAAACTCAAGCATCTTTTTAATATCAACTTCAGAGTACTTGTGTATACAATCAGAGTGCTTTTTAACAAAATAATTTTGTAAATGACCAGTGACGAGGTAAGTATATTTACGAGTTCCAGTTTTATTGAAAAAGCAGCTGTCTATGATGTCAAAAAGCCTGGACTTATTATTTATCGTGGGGAATGGTTGTATAAAGTGTTGAAAAGTCGTACGTTTTGATGCTATTGATTTTAGTAAACTTTTGTTATTTCAAATTTTTCAAAAGTTCTTTGGCGTTTTTGAGTATCCACATCTGATTTACACCACTTCTCAAAGATACTCTTGAACAGTACTCCTGAAGTTTCTCCTTCATTACAGTAAATATTTTAGTGAGGAGTAAAGAAAGGGGCTTGGTAGAACATTTACTGGAACCCGCTATGTACATTGTATCTTTGTTTGTAAGGATTTTATGAAGTTTAGGAATCCTGTAAAGGTATGGTAATTCAAATTCATTTTGATTGCTGGGAATATTAAAATTATCTAAAACGGACATATGATTTTGAAGAATGCCCTCCTTAGAAACGGAGGTATGGGTGTAAGTTGGATTTTCACTCGTAGAATTAAATTCTGATTCCTCTAAATTACAATTCAAATAATGAGCCTTACAAACAAAGAGTATGTTGTTACCAGCTTTTTCAGCTGGGACCAGTATATACTGATCGTAATCTATGTAATTTTTTTTTCACTTCTGAATTATTAAAGACAAGGATAAATAGTTTTCATACAGCCCCTCAATCTCTTAATGAGAGATTTCAACACCCATCTGATGCTCTTAATCCATTCTGACAAAGTGTCAATGTCTTCTTTTTCGTGTTCGGCCCATCGCCTGACGTAATCTTCCACTGAATTCATAATATTTATACAATTATGACGCCAGTTGAAAGAACGGGGTTCCATAAATTTTGGCCCTTTTAAAATAAGGGATTTAAGGTCCTCATTATTAACTATGTTGACATCACCAGTAATGACGTGTCCGGCAGGACTATAGTTGTAGGGTGAAGAAGAACATGAACACGTAGGAGGATTATGTATCAGATGTTCAATATCTAGGCATTGTAGAGTGTTTTGTAATTAAAAAGTTTGGAAGCAATCGTCGATGTATATTTATAAGAAATACAAGGTGTGGACTTCAACTTGAAATATGGTGGAATACAAGACTGGACCTTTTTGTGATTAAGAATACTACTAATATTAACTGCGTCGATTCCTTTGTTTGCAAATTGAAGTTTAAGGAACAAACGGGTTTTTTGAGCAGTGTCCAAAGATGCATCAAAAGAAACAATTTTTTTTCAATTGACTATGAAATCAAAGCATGTTGACATTTAATTTGTTTTGTCATATTACGGTCGGTTGTGCTATATAAATAATAATAATAAAGCCTTTATTTATCCAGGATGACATAGTTTAGCAACAATGCTAGTTTCAATATGGTCCTGCAAATATAACATACATACAGACAGGTATTAGTAAAACACAATTTAAAAGAAATAGAGTACATATAAGATAAATAATAAATGTGAAATATAAAATAAATAAATACCAAACAAAATTAAAATGTATGGCGGTATTCTGTAAGATAGTTTCTCTTAAAACATACACTTGTTGAATTTCTGATGTTTTCACACACGGTATTCCACATATTGCTACCTGAAACGCTGAAAGATCTCTTATAATACTCAGTCTTTGTCCTGGGTACATACAATAAATTTGAATTTGAATTTCTTGTTTGCCTCTGGCTAATTTAATTCTGATACATATTCAAAAACATTTAAGTAATCTGGCATTAATCCATGTAATACTTTATACACTAAAATGACATTTCTATAGATAAAATAATCTGATAGAGGCATCCAGTTAAGTTGTGCAAACATGACAGAAGATGGTGTTTGAAAAATTCTTATGTTCAAAATGACCCTTGCAACACGTTTTTGTAATATTAAAAGCTTTTTCACATTTTCAGCATTTCTTGGATTGCTCCATATGGAACAACAATTTGTAAAATGAGGAAAAATCATAGTATTAAAAATACTGATGCTGATAAATTGAATAACGTGCTAATCCGTGTTATGGCACCATGAAGGTCAAATATTTACAATTCCGTGCTTAAATAAATTGATGCGTTGCCTCGAAAGGTGATTTAATTCCCTCATAGTGATTGGTCGCCCGCGTGGCGCAGTGGTTAGAGCGTCTGCTAGTCGCGAAGTAAGGAGTTGATCCTTACGTCGCGGGTTCGAATCCCACTGTGGGACGTGGAGGCCGGTCCTTCGGATGAGACCGTATAAACCGAGGTCCCGTGTCGCAGTAGGTGCTGGCACGAAAAAGATCCCTCACTGCTCAATGGCCGTAAGTGCCGAGTATAGGACAAAATTTGCAGCTCTCCACCGGCAATGGTGGCGTCTCCATATGAGTGAAAAATTCTCGAGAGGGACGTTAAACAACATACAATCAATCAATCAATCATAGTGATTGTCTTCTATTGATATTAGCAATATAACATACACCTTTATACAGTTTATACACTTTTTTCCTTACAGTAGTAATTAAAAAAAAGTAAGAAACAAGATAATTTCCCGACAGAACACCTTAAGTTCTGCACAAGCTGAACATACTACAGTCTCTTCCAGGACCTCAATATTATGGTATATTTATCAATTACAGAAAAGAAAGACAGAAAGAATCAGGCAGAACAATATCGGTGTTCATTCAGAAAATGTAACTATAAGTCCTCAGCTTGTATATCGAGAAAAAATACTGGAAAACTGTTTTAAAGGCAGAGTTTATTAAACAAAACAAAAAAAAACCCATTTATATATACATATATATGTATATAAGAAGTCATTCTGCTTCCTTCATATTATTTCGGCACAAAATGTACGTGTTTGAACTCAGGGAAATGTCTTATCTAAAAACCTATCTCGGCATGCACATGTCACGTCGTTTCGAAATTATGTCCTCAAAATTCTGTTGAGGGATACCCTCGTACATTTATTGTATAAGCTTCCCCTACAAGTTATAGTTACATTATAGATATTAATTGGCTATCGGTAAATACACTCACAGTTTTTCATTCACGAGGGGCGGAGCCCCGAGTGAATAAAAACTGTGAGTGTATTTACCGATAGCCAATTAATATTCTATTGTGTAAGTTACTTGTACCAGAGGACCAATGAGAGAAAAGCAAGTTGATAATTAACACCGCCTACTCCATGGTGTCAAGCCACGGTCCGGAGTCTGTATTATAAATAGCTGTCTCCATTGCATGTGATGCGTACTCTAGAAATGTTGAAGACACAGAGGACATGATTTTTTGGTCAGGTATAGGGGTAAGGATTGTAAACTACATGTTTTATACTGACGCCGTCAACAGTGAAAGAAAATTCATCTTTCGAGATCGTTATTTAAAAAAAAAAGGGGGGTGGGGTGGGGTGGGGTGTTGACTTAATGGAAAACATCGCCGTTGTTATATATGACAATCTACGTATAGAAACAGTGACATATATACTATCTAGTATATATAGGTCCCTGATAGACACTTTGAAATGATTTCTGACATTTTAATAACATTTTAATAAAAGTTTGAAATGCTATTTGAAGGGAAAAAAACGCAGGGACTTCTGATGTTAAATTGCTACATGTACTTGGAGAAAGAAAAGAGAATGACGAGAATTCGAGATAGAACGTATCATTTACTGAA